TATCATGACGAAGTTGTACATATAATTATCTTGCATTTATATTACTTGTGCTAATAGAATTTGGAGTTTGAAATCTCTGAAAATTTTAGGTTAGGATTTAGGGATTTCAAAATTTTCTTTGATCTTTGATAGTTAGATTACATAATTTATATGATTGGAATCGTGAGTTCAAATGCTACATTTTTTATGTTATAAGTTTTCATTTTTATGCAAACATGAGGAAGTTGCAGGTTGAATTGGCCATGGCGTGAGGAAGGAGAAGGCAGGACAAGGACGAAGCTTCTTGGGCTTTTTGCTTCTTGGACTGTTTGTTTTTGCTAGCATCATCACTCCTGATTTACTTTCTCACCCCCTGCTAACTCTTTTCATATTTTATATTTTTTTTCATTTTTATGTTTAATACTTCTAATTATTTTCTTTAATGATAAAAAATCCTAAAAAATAATTTAATTGCTTTTACACTTTTATTTTATTTTTTTATTATTTCTCACATAAAAATTTAATTTATTTTGATAGGATTTAATTTATTTTCTTAATAAACTTATAAATATAATTAAATATACTTAATATTTTTATTTTACATTTCATACTTACAAATACCTATTTTTTGCACATATTTAATTTTTAATATTTATATACAATATTATTTATTATTTTCATACAAAAAAATGCACAAAATAATAAGATAGATGCATTATTTTCTTTTAAATAAAAATTAGGGTTTAACCCCTTTCAAAAATTAAATCTTTTTCTTATATTTTTTTTAGGTTTAAATTAAATATTCTTTTACACAAAAGCAAGACATAAAACATCTTTTTTTTACATGTACATTGCATTACATTTTAAATATTGTATTAAATTTATCTTAATTCGCACAAGTTCGATTTAGTTGTAATAATGTATTTAGCTTTATATTTGTGCAAATCTCCATTCAAACTTGTATTTCCCCCTCCCATAAAATTGTTGTAATAGCTTAGTATATTTACATTACGCAATTTATCGCTTTATATGTCATGATTAGTAATTAGGGTTTGTATGACAAGAACGAAACAAAACAAATAGAAAACCCTAAATGCAAGATCAAAAGCATGAAAATGATATACTTTGCACACAAGCACCCTTAGGGTTTCTCCCACTTGGTTGCCTAAAATAAAATGGCCATGTTACGCATGTGAAGTATCTTGGCAAAATAAAACAAATTTAAGATCATAGTCCCTCGATGACGCTATTCAAAAGTTGCCTTACAAAATGATCTTGGTCCCTCAAAAATGCTAAGATACTTTGCAAACATTGCTAATCATGGTTATACGATGACCCACGCCCGTCCCGTTTACATCCAAAGATAAGTTTGCTTACCAAATCAATGGTAAGTCAACAATGTCAAAGGAATAAAAAATGCATAAGAAAGACATTTGAGTAGGTAGATAACTTCTAGTTACTTGCTCCATTTCAAATAACAATCCTTGCTATTTTTAAAACAAACACACACATATTTCAAAACATCTTATGATCATTGAAAACATTTTCAAAAAGATAAACATCTTTGTATACATTCTTACGAACGAGAATCATTACAAAGATTGCCTAAACGAATGACCTCTTTTACAAAATATTTTCAAAACCACATCAAACATCATTTCAAATAAACCAAAACAAGTGATCTAAGCAAGTAACTAAGAGCCCATGGAAAACCATGGATGAAAAGGGTGTTAGCACATTCCCTTTTCATAATCTACCCCTCGAACTCAAGAAAACATCTCAAAGGTCTTTCTTGTGCTTTTTCACCTTTCCTTTTGGATAAAAGAAAAGTCGGTGGCGACTCTTGCTAACCGCAACATTTGCGATAAAACACAAAAGCTCAAGTCAGTTCTCCCACCGTATCACAGAACCCAACAACACAAAGAATCTACCCAAACCCACAAAATAAGTCAGCCAAAACTGTATGCGTTCATACGAAAATGCAACACAATGATAAGTAACATGACTAAAAAGTACAAAATTACAAAAATCTAAAATAAAGAAAGTGCAAGTATTAGATAGAGAGTGTCAACATGAATGGGTTTAGAAAGAAGCCCAATGCTAAGAGCCCATATTCTAACCCTATTAATTAATTAATGATAATTAATGATAATTAAATAATAATAAAATAGAAAACACTATGTCATGAAGAGAGAAGCTTCCCCGTTTTTTTTAGTTCAAATACTATTCAAAATCAAAATAGCACTTAACCTTTTCAATCAAACCAAAAATAAATCCAATAGAAGAATGACATTTGGCTAAAAGTCAAAAGAATGAAATAATTGTCGCATAAATATCACATTTCTATTTCTTTTTCTCAATTTATTCTTCACTCACAGTAGATACAAACTTTAGAAACTTTCTCAACATTCTCAAATCAAACTTCAATTTAAAGAAGCACACATAATCAAGTGACCAAAAACAAAATAATTACCACAAAATAGTGGGAGATTGATGCTCAGTGAAGACGGGTGATATGAACGAAGGGAGTATGTCGCGACAGAAAAATGGAAAGGGTGGGCCGCGCGTGGATTTTGAAGGTGACGGTTTGTTGTTGAGTTAGGCCGGTGTTATCGCGGCTATGGGAGCAATACAAAGGTATAGAGATGATGGTGGGTTTACGAATGAACAGGGATTTCGCCAGAAATTCGGGAGTGAAGCTCGGATGGAGTTTAGATAGCTAGTGATAGAAAGGAGATAAATTACAGATTTCAAAAATTAATTAAAAAATATTTAAATGCTCATAAATGAAAATAAAAATACCAGGCTGCAAAACACTTACGATTAAAAACGAGAATTTAATTTGTGCCGAAAATAAAATGAGCGTACCATCATGATCTATGCGAAACGTAGATTCATAAAATAATTAGTAAAAAGTGAAAACTTGAAATATTTTCTCGCTAATTTTCTGCACAATGTCAAATCGCTTTTAACGATTTGTCCGTAAAACCGAAATATCAATATTATCGACATATAAACAACTTGGAGAAATGTGGGAAGCAAGTAAAGAGATAAAAATGTATGAAGTAAAATATCAGGTATTTTTCAACTACAAAACGATACAAACGTCGATTTAAACTGACTTTTGATCAACTTAAATACGACTAAATGATGCAAATATGATGAATGAAGATTTTTATTGAAGATTGTGACCAAATAACAAAATATGATATGAAAATACGATTAAAAAATGTAGGGCGAAATTTAGGGTGCAACACTTTCCAATCATACGATCATAATTTCTCATCATCCGTGTTTCATTGTGCTTCCGTTTTAGGTACAACAACATCATATGTATTGGTCATGGTAATTTAAAAAGGACCATTTTTTTACGGTGTTCCATACTTTCCTATTAATAGAATTAATATGGACACACATACAATCCTTCCAATAACCATGGTTTTTGCTATTGAAAACAAATGCTCTATCATACGCTCATTTAGGTTCGGAAGCCATAATCTAACAAGCAATTTTGAAGCACAAGATAAACCAGTGCCCATGATACCACTTGTTAGACGATAGGCTACGATCTAGAGGGGGTGAATAGATCGCAAATGAGTTTTTTTAATAAAAAATTATGTTTTAAAAATGTTTAACTATGACGCGCAAAAACAATCTTGGATCAACAATCGTCTATCTCGAACCGTTATCGAACAGAGCAGATATGTGTTAAAACAATAGAACGAATACGTAAGATGAGAAAGACAATTAATATATTATCAGCAATTACATTTAAATAAAGTCACACAATAGTAATCGATTTCTAATAAAATATCAAACAAAAATTGACTAAAACAATTTATCGAACACTTAGAATGAAATTGATTTTAAAAATAAATTTAAGTTAGACAATTACAATCTTATTGATAAGATGAAAGAATCTTAACCCAAAAATACTTTATTCTTAAACTTAAAGAATTACGATATTACAATATGAATGATAATATGTACTATTATTTAAAAAAATTAAAATATGGTGACAATATTATTCTCAGATTCTATAAAATTTACTAGTGTTTCTCTTTCTTCTTAAATGGTGAGATATTACGTTTTACTCCAATGTAAACTATACTTTACAGTTTACAAAATCCATTCTCTACAAATATAGATTCTCTTCTGCCCTTTTAATTTTTTCAATTCAATGGTTGATTGACCATCAAATAAAAAAATAAAAACTCAAAAAAATAAAAAATAAATGAATGATTGAGATTAAAGCTAAAGAACATGAGACAAAAAGCAGAAGATGGTCCAAATTTATTCTCTATTATCTTATATTAAAAATAGTATGTTATGCATAATTTTTTCAAATAAATATTTGATTTTCAACATGTAAAATGTCTCTAACATGATTTTAAATTTCTTAAAGAAAAAATGTATATCTAGACATAAAAAGACAAGTCCAATATACATAAATATTAAATCTTAATTTTAACATCATTCAAAATATATAAAAATATTACACTCACATTCTTATATAACTGTTTCACTCTCAATAGTCAAAAGACTAAATAAACTCACATTTAACTCTCTTAGTTCAAGACTACTTTTCTAAGTATTTAAACAATTACAATATTATTAATAAGATGAAACAATCTTAATCCAAAAATATTGTATTCTCAAATTTAAAGAATTACAATATGAATAATAATATGTAATATTATTCTTTTAAAAAAATTAAAATATGATGACAAATTTATTTATTGGGATACTATAAAATTTACTAGTATTGCTCTTTCTTTTAATGTATGCATGCATTTATTCTTAGAATTAGTAACATGTTTTTGTAGGGTTAATCTAACACGAATATGTTTATCATTTATGTTAAAAATAAATTTAAAATAATAAAAAGTGAAAACTAAATTAAAAATTGTTGAGTTTAGAGTATCATTCTTGTATCATCCCATCACACGCATATCACAAATGCTCTATAATAATCACCTTTTGCCTCCTCACTTTCTCTCTCACTCTCTCCCTCAAAACCCATGATGACTCCTAACCCTTTCACAATCTTCCTCTATCTCCACCAACATCACTATTTCACCAAAACCCCTTCCATTCCCATTCCCATTCCCGTTCCCGTTCCCTATCCCATCACAATGCAACCACAAGTTTCTAACCTCAATCCAAACGCTCAACCCTTCTATCCACAACACAACCTTGTAGTAGTAACACCTAAAACTCAATCCAGTGTTTATGTACCAAAACAAACCAAGAAAGCCTCTCGTCGTCGTGGAAATGTTACACAGTTTCCCAACACCATTGATGAAGCTCAAGCATCGCGCATTACCACGGTAATGATCCGACACATTCCTAACCAATTAAGGTAATTAATTAACTAACTGTTGAACTATTTATGCATTGATTTTACCCGTTTTTTTTTTTTTTTGGTGTTTAGTGCTATTTATTTCGCAAATGTTTGTGTTGAAAAATTTCAGGTTCGAGGATTTGCTGCATGTTCTTGATGAACATTGCTATGAGATCAACAAGTCCGTTGAAGATCCTGCAGATTGGTCCAAGTTCGATTTTCTTTACTTACCCATGGATTACATGTAAAAGAACATTCTAGAACTTATTCGGTTATGTTATTATTATGTTGTTAGTGTTGTTGATTTACTGTTTAGTTTGATTTTTTTAGGAAGCATGCTATAGAAAGAAGAATGTCTAATTTGGGATATGCATTTGTGAATTTTACAACACCTTCTGCTGCTTTCAAGTTCTACAAACAGTTTCAAGGATTCCAATGGAGTGTGTCAGAGAATCGCAAGATCTGTGAAATTACTGCAGCTCATGTTCAAGTTAGTTTCTTAATTCATTTTGATCTTATTTCATGGAAGCTGGGATTTCTAGCTTCTTAGATCATAGGTATCATTACGGGCTCAGGTATCAAGTGGGTCCAGTCTCCTCCCTATCGCAATTGCGGGGATGAAAGACAAAATGTCTGATGTAGTTATAGTAGTTATAATGATGCGGTCGATAAATGTTCTAATATAATTTCTCCTCATTTTTCTCAAAATAGCTTTTAATTAATTTTGTATTTTATTTTTGGCAGGGCAGAGATAAGTTGGAGAGGATTTTCTGTCAAAAAGTATTCCGAAGCAATAGCCAAAAATTTCGTCCGGTTGTATTCTATAAAGGGCGTGATGGTTTCAATCGCAGAATGAAGGGAATCCCTCTAGGAATACATGTAAGGGGATTGCCTTTCAGTTGAACACATGCACGATGCTTCTTTCTAAGGGTTTCTCTATATGCTTGTAGGGTTAGTTTTGGTTTAGGTTTCTTCTAAATTGTAGTAGTGCTAAGAGCTTAGTTGTTTTAAATGTGTATATATATAGTTTAGGAGGTGTGGAATACCCATGTTTTCATTCTCTCCCTAGAGTTGTTTGGACTGTCTTATGTTATGCTACAAATCTGGGGTGAATTGGAAACATGGGTTTAGTAAGAATGGATCTGTTCATGATTGTAAATCGTACTACTCTTATTGGGTTATTTCTATGAAATATTTTGGCTATGTTTATTAATACTGCTATGTGGTTCTCATCACTTACCAATATGATTAACTCCTAGGAATTGACCTAGTGGTGGAAATGGTTGATGGTGGAAGTTTGAATTTTAAGAGTGTGCATCTCTTAAAAATATTATTTAAAAGAAATAAAAAAACTTGTGAATATGATTTTATTGTGTAATTGCCGTAAGATAATCCACCCATAAAAATAATAATTTGTTTTAGATTATAAATGAAATTCTATTAATTTTATTTTAAAGTTGATATATCGGTGAAGACTTAAAGATATAAGAGTTTTAGATTATCTCAAGAGTTTGAGATTTAAAAGTTTGTTTTTCTTAAAGTTTAAGATATTAGTGCGCGAGACACTTTTAGTGAGGAGAGAAAGAGAGAATAGTAAAGAAAATAAGGATTTGTATTATTGAATTGTATAAATAATGATACACACTATGACTATTTATATACAACACTAGTTGAGTTTGAGGTAACACAACTTGATTTATATTAAATATTAAATCTAATCAAGTCTAATCAAATCTAATATTTCAACACACTCTCATAATTCAAGTTGTCGAACATCCTCAAAAATAGTCAATCTGAATTATTCTTAATTTCTTTCTCAAGTTCACGAATCTGTCGATCTTCAATCCTTTAGTGAAAATGTGGACCAACTGTGCTTCACTTGAGCAATGCCTAACTTCAAGTTCACCTTGATTTACCTTTTCCCTCAAGAAGTGAAACATTGCTTCAATATGTTTACTTCTTCCATGCAGAAATGGATTCTTCGCCAGATTTATGGTTGACTTGTTGTCGATTTGCAATACTAGAGGTTTCTTCACTTCGACAGTCATTTCTTCAAGTACAGATCTGATCCAAATTGTTTGACATGATAGGATCCTGCTATATATTTAACTTCACACGATAACAATGCCACCGTAGGTTGCTTCTTCGAACACCATGAGATTGGGGCACTAAATACTTGAAAGAAATATCCAGTTGTGCTTCTTTGATCTTCCTTATCTCCATACCAATCAACATCTGAAAAACAATTAACTATTGCTTCTTTGCCTTCAGAATCTCGTCAAAATAGTATTCCATAATTTATTGAACCCTTCAAATATCTCAGGATTCTTCTTGCAACCTTCATATGTGACACTTTTGGTTCACCCATATATCTGCTCACTAATCCGACAGTGAAACTTATATCAGGTCGACTGTTGCACACATACCTCAAAGATCCCACAATTTGCTTGAACAAAGTTACATCGACTTTATCTTCCTCTTCATTCTTCTCCAACTTCACATTTGGTTCGACGGGTGAGGATGCATGATTTGAATCATCCATTCTAAATCTCTTGTGTATCTCTTTGACATATATTCTTTGATGTAGCACCATACCTTGCTTTAACATTTGAAATTTCATGCCTAGAAAATAAGACAATTTTCCTAGACCCGACATTTCAAATTCCTTCGTCATCAGCTCTTTGAACGTCGAAAAATTCTCCAAACTATTTCTAGTTACTAGCAAGTCATCAACATATAAGCATATAAGTATTATATCTTGTGCTACAACCTGAACATAGACACCATACTCTGATTTGCATTTGACAAATCTCAATTCGACTAAGTATGAGTCGATCTTCTTGTTCCATGCCTTAGGTGCTTGTTTGAGGCCATAGAGCGCTTTGTGCAATCTATATACTCTACTCGCTTCCTTCTAAATCACAAACCCAGGAGGTTGTGTGACATAAACTTCTTCGTCTAAAGGACCATCCAAAAATACTGATTTCACATTTAGATGGAATATCGACCAACCTTGATTGCATTCCAATGCTACCACTAGTCGAACAATCTCTAATCCTACTACTGGAGCAAATACTTCAGAGTAGTCGAGTCCTGCTCTTTGAAGAAAACCTTGAGCTACTAATCTTGCTTTATGTCTTGCTATTGACCCATATACATTGTGTTACAACTTGAACACCCACTTTACTTCGATAGCTTTTGTATGTGCTGGCAATTCGACTAACTCCCATGTGTTGTTTCTTTCAATTTCCCGTAACTCTTCGACCATAGCTAACTTCCACTTGTTAATCTTTAAAGCTTCACTATAGTTGATTGGTTCAGCACCTGCAAGTAAAGCAAAATGAACTAATTCTCTATCTGGTGTGATTTCATCGTCACCCACCACTTCATAATCATGAAGTCTTGTTGGAAGAACTCTATTTCTTTGTGGTCTTTGGCTTGTTTCAGTCACATCCTCTTCGGCTTCGACTGTGACGGGAGTGTCAGCAACTGCTTGTTCTTCAACTTCGACTGGATTCTCAATAATTCCTTCGACCTCTACTTCATCAGTTTCTTCGTCGAAATCAAAATTCATTAATGACTTATTGCTAGAATTCCAATCCCAAGCAGAATTTTCATTAATCACAATATCTCGACTCAACACAATCTTCTCATTAACTGGATTGAATAGTCTGTATGCACCAGTTTTATGATATCCTACCAGAATCATAGGTTCACTCTTGTCATCAAGCTTCCTTCTCTTTGCATCAGGAACATGCTTATAAAACATAGAGCCAAACACCTTCAAATGACTTACTGATGGTCATTTGTCACTCCACACTTCTTCAGGAACCTTGTTCTTCAATATCTTAGTAGGACATGTAACACTCATTAATTTAATTAATTATTTAATTAAATTATATTTTTGAATTATTTGTGATGTCGTGAGATGTTAAAAATTATTGGTAAAAGTTGTTGGATTATTATTAATTAATTAATTAGTTGATTAATAATAATTCTTATGATGGGATTAATTAAATATTATTTAAGTGATGGATTGATTAAGTGGTAGAAATATTATAGTATTATTTTATTAGAAATAAGAATAGAATTAGTAATGGGTTTATGTTATGGCGTCAAGAAGTAAAAGTGGGATGTAGCATTTAGGCCCAATTGGATTTATTTGGACTAATAGAATAATATTATATTATTAGAAAATAAGAGAGGAAGAGAAGTTAGTTACCAGTAAGAAGAGAGAGAGGAATATAAGGTTTTTGCAGAAGAATTGGGATACGGGAAATTGAACCAAGAGGCCAAGAGGAGATTCAATCGGAGACCCATAGAGTTGCCTTCAAACCAAACCATGTAGGGGTGGGGTTTCTTATCTTATAATGGGGCTTATGAGAAATTGTATGTGGGGATTTAGGGTGTAAATTTATTATTATTTGTGTTTGTTTATGGAAATTGATGTTAAAAATTAATTAGTGTTGATTATTGGTGAAATGTCATGTTCCTGTGTTATACGTTGGTTAGTCTGTGAATCGAATGAAATTGGAGAAGTAACAGGAAGTTGTAGAAAATTATACGAATAAGTGACGGGAATGAGGGTGTGTCGGCCGGAAGATAGTGTGCCGAGGGGCACGGTGGGCATGCCGATCGGCAGGCTATGGAAAGGTTTGTGTGTCGAGGGGAACTGTGATCATGCCGAGCGGCATGATGTGGCCATTGGGGTGCCGAACGAAACACCCATTGTGATGAAGGACACAACTTCCTTTCTCCATATTTGTTTTATATAGTATACGTTTTTAACGAATTTTCTTAAGATAACTTTCTTTTTTATAATTGGACTTAGTTTAAGTAATTTAAGTAGTGCAATATATATATATATATATATATATATATATATATATATATATATATATATATATATATATATATATATATATATATATATATATATATATATATATATATATATATATATATATATATATATATATATATATATATATATATATATATATATATATATATATATATATATATATATATATATATATATATATATATATATATATATATATATATATATATATATATATATATATATATATATATATATATATATATATATATATATATGCAACGTAGCCCTTATTTTTAATTCTCAATAATTATAGTAAAGTAGAATAATTACAGGTAGTACCGAAGTAGAATAATTACGTGTAGTATCCTAAGACATATAGCAAAATCACGAAGATAGCAAGGTAAGTATATGTTAGCACTTTAATAACAGAGTAGTATATTTTTTTAGTAGAGTTATTCTTTATGAAACAAAAGACTAGTAATTTTAATTTACTCCCATGAATGAAGTTTGAACTTAGAAATGGACAATTAAATCATGTCTAGCTTGAAAACCTTGAAAAAGGATGAATGTCTTTGAAACCTTGAATTGAATTGAATTTAATGACGTCTTTGTGTGCGAATCTTCAATTCATGGTAATTTGCAATACAATCCAGTACCGCTTGAAAGAATAATGATTCCTTGAAAAATCCACTTTCATTCGATAATCACCAAATGCTCAAACACAGGTGATTCTAATTGTGAATAATAAAGCGATCAATGAACTTCCAAACTCCATCTCATATTTTCATGAATAATATCCACGTAAGAATCAAGTATCTTAAGATAATAGTTATGACATGAGTTGAACCTAGGAGTTAAGAACATTATAAGTCAAGAAATGACCCATAACGATTCAATGGCTTTTATGATCTTTTATGCATAATTAACTCTTGATCCTTGAAGAGAACTAGTAGACGGAATTACTCATGACAATGTGCAAAAAGAATCGCCTAAAAATGTCGAGAATCAAATAAATTATGATCCTTGGAAGCTGGGCACAACGATTTTGAGATTAGGT